CCATCCACCTTGCCCTTGGTCGGCCCCTCTTCCTTTTTCCTTCCATTTTCCCCAGCATAATTGTCTTCTCAGCTTATACAAGGGTTGAATGAAAAGTAATGCCTCCACCTTCGTAACTCCTCAACAGCCTCCAAGGTAGATCTTACAAAACTATTTCTTGATTTAAGTTGTTGGCGTGCTGGCTGATACCCAAACAGGGGATGAGCTGGAGATGTGACTGTCTTTTGGGCTGTATAGGTCAACAGCAAGCTAGACTATTAATGGTTGGGAGCCAGCTCTGACCCTGGCTTCGAATTCATGACCCTTTGGTCAGTAGTGATTTAATGGCTACTAACTGGCTGCGACACAGTCCAGTCCAGCAATTCCAGCATTTGTTGACAAATTATCTCTTCAGGAGATAAGAATGTTGGAATTAGTCCCAATAGTATATGCCAGAAGTAGCAGGCAGTAAATTAAAGCATCCATTCCTACTACTAAGGTAAATGGGTTTATGCAGCCATTAATATCCGAGTGTCTCTGCCAACAGGCAAAGAGAGAAGAGCAGAGAAGGAACAAGCTGGTCTCCTGTGGCAGGGAGTTCCTCAGTCTCAAAGCAACCATCTAAAAGGCATTAACTTGTTGCTTTCATGCTGGCAGACAGTGGAGGGGAAGGCTTGTTGGTAAATTTTTCATAAATGCTTTTATTCACATTGCTAAGGTGATTTGTCAGCTGGTATATATATGCGAACAACAAACTAAGAATAGATGCTTGGGTAATTGCAATTGCCGCGGCCTCTTCAGAGCTCAAAGAAAAGCTAGCAATGCTCCTTGCATCGCTCCAGCGTTGGCCATGGATACTGAATGGCTGGGAAAGCCACCATAGCAACATACGTAAATACTTTGCACGGATTTGTGCTTCTAGCACCGGCATCTTCCAGAATGTAGTTTAGGAAAAAAAGGGGGGTTTGCCTCATTGTTCAGTTATACATACTCCAATGTTCTTGGAGTATCGAGCTAAGGTGGTTTGAGCTAACTCACAACACGCAACATGCAATTTGTCATGCTATGCCTTTTTTTTTCTGGGGAAGAAGCGCATTTTCCATTCAGTCATAAGCTTTTCATAAGTCCTGCAGTTCAGAGTTCGCCAGTGTTTCTACATTCAGTATGATGGCCGAGCAAAGCATCGTTATTTTGAGGACAATACCGATTTTAATTGACGTATGTTTGGTTCTATTTTAATATTTGATTGTTGTAGGTTCTAAATTGCATTGTTCGTTTAGTGTTTCAGTCAAGAAATAAACATAGTAGTAGTAGTAGTAGTAGTAGTAGTAGTAGTAATAGATGATTGTTGTTCAGGTGTAAGTTGTATTGTGCCGTTATATGCGCCTTTAATAAATTGACGGGCTAGTATTTCATGACTGGCTTGAGAGCAGTACGTGTGAAAAAGATCTTGGAGTCCTCGTGGACAACAAGTTAAACATGAGCCAACAATGTGATGTGGCAGCAAAAAAGCCAATGGGATTTTGGCCTGCATCAAGAGGAGCATAGTGTCTAGATCGGCAAGTCATGCTCCCCATGCTCTATTCTGCTTTGGTTAGACCACACCTGGAATATTGTGTCCAATTCTGGGCACCACAATTCAAGAGAGATATTGACAAGTTGGATTGTGTCCAAAGGAGGGCGACTAAAATGATCAAGGGTCTGGAGAACAAGCCCTATGAGGAGCGGCTTAAGGAGCTGGGCATGTTTAACCTGAAGAAGAGAAGGCTGAGAGGAGACATGATAGCCATGTATAAATATGTGAGAGGAAGCCACAGGGAAGAGGGAGCAAGCTTGTTTTCTGCTTCCCTGGAGACTAGGACGCGGAACAATGGCTTCAAACTACAAGAGAGGAGATTCCATCTGAACATGAGGAAGAACTTCCTGACTGTGAGAGCCTTTCAGCAGTGGAACTCTCTGCCCCGGAGTGTGGTGGAGGCTCCTTCTTTGGAAGCTTTTAAACATGGGCTGGATGGCCATCTGTCAGGGGTGATTTGAATGCAATATTCCTGCTTCTTGGCAGAATGGGGTTGGACTGGATGGCCCATGAGGTCTCTTCCAACTCTTTGATTCTATGATTCTATGACAGCAACCAAAATGTTCCATCTACCTCTGGTTCAAATGCACAATACAATTAGAAAGTGTTAATGTTTTGCAAAGCTGCCAAAATGGGGTCCTGCATGTGAGTTGTTTCAAGAAATTGGTGTGAGAAGAGGCAAGGCAGGGATCAGTAAATAGTTCTTTGTCTTCTAGTTTCTAGGAAAAGCTGTTTTTCCTTACTTGTCATCTATCCTACCTGGCTGTTCTAGTGTGTATGCTTTGGGGATGTTAATATTTGACTATTTCAGTCTTCTGAGCAAAGATGAATAATTTGCACAATTTTTCTCTCCGCTGTAGGAAAACGCTTATTTCTGTGCAAACCTTGCTCAATATTTTCACATCCTGAAGCATTTCCGGAAATTGTCATACGTAAAAATACACGGTTGTTGTGGAACAAAAATCATGTGTTTTTTTGCAGAAGAACTAGCAATTTTACACAAGAAATATTTCCATATAAAGTAGCTATTTTTGTGCGAGAAACTTTTGTAGAAGTTTTTTTTTGTGAGAGATCTTTCTTTTGCAAATTTTACTCTTTTATGCATTTATCGTGTCATCAGCATTTTTAACAAAAACAAACAAACAGACAAAACACAAAGTTTGCAAGCTTGGTAGTTGATTAAATGTCCTTTGACCAGTATCTGGCCACTTGGAGTGCCTCTGGTGTTGCCACAAGGAGGTCCTCCATTGTGCATGTGGCGGGGCTCAGGTTGCATTGCAGCAGGTGGTCAGTGGTTTGCTCTTCTCCACACTCACATGTCGTGGATTCCACTTTGTAGCCCCATTTCTTAAGGTTGGCTCTGCATCTCATGGTGCCAGAGCGCAGTCTATTCAGCGCCTTCCAAGTCGCCCAGTCTTCTGTGTGCCCAGGGGGAGTCTCTCATTTGGTATCAGCCATTGGTTGAGGTTCTGGGTTTGAGCCTGCCACTTTTGGACTCTCGCTTGCTGAGGTGTTCCAGCGAGTGTCTCTGTAGATCTTAGAAAACTATTTCTTGATTTCAGTCGTTGACGTGCTGGCTGATACCCAAACAAGGGATGAGCTGGAGATGTCGCTGCCTTGGTCCTTTCACTATTGGCTGCTACTTCCCGGCGGATGTCAGGTGGTGCGATACCGGCTAAGCAGTGTAATTTCTCCAGTGGTGTAGGGTGCAGACACCCTGTGATAATGCGGCATGTCTCATTAAGAGCCACATCCACTGTTTTAGTGTGGTGAGATGTGTTCCACTGGGCATGCATACTCAGCAGCAGAGTAGCATAGCGCAAGGACAGATGTCTTCACTGTGTCTGGTTGTGATCCCCAGGTTGTGCCAGTCAGCTTTCGTATGATATTATTTCTAGCGCCCACTTTTTGCTTGATGTTAAGGCAGTGCTTCTTGTAGGTCAGAGCACGGTCCAGGTTGACTCCCAGGTATTTGGGTGCGCTGCAATGCTCCAGTGGGATTCCTTCCCAGGTAATCCTCAGAGCTCGGGATGCTTGTCTGTTCTTAAGGTGAAAGGCACATGTCTGTGTTTTAGATGGATTAGGGATCAGCTGGTTTTCCCTGTAATAGGCAGTAAGAGCACCTAGAGCTTCAGAGAGCTTCTGTTCGACCATCTCAAAGCTCCCTGCTTGAGCAGTAATGGCACGATCATCAGCATAGATTAAACTATCCCTTCTGGCAGTGGCTGGTCATTTGTGTAGATGTTGAACATGGATGGAGCAAGCACGCTCCCCTGAGGCAGGCCATTTTTCTGTTTCCGCCATCTGCTTCTCTGGCCCTGGAACTCAACAAAGAAGCTCCTGTTTTGTAGCAGAAGCAACCAGAAGGACAGAGGATGAGGATGCCTAAAAATAAAGTCATCAGACTGTAAGGACATAAGTTGGAAAATACCTGATTTATGGGTTAAATTGAGCAGCGGTCAAGCGGTTACAAGGCCAACACCTAGAGCTTTGGAGAGCTTCTGCTTGAGCGGTAATGACACAATCATCAGCATACATGCATTGAAAACAGCAATCTTGCACAAAACACACATGACTATCTGGAAAGTGATTTCCCCCCTTTATAAAGTCTATAATTGTACAATATTCTGAAAAATATGTACAATATTCTGCACAGAAGTTATTCTGTGCAGAATAATTTCCAGGATGTGCAAATACCACTAATCTTTCCTTCCTTGATTGAATTTCTCAGGAATTCGGGAACCCAAGTTTTCAGCAACAGCAAATATTCTTGATATTCCTAGTATGCGCTTACGCTAATTTTTTGGAATTTTGTGCGAGGAAATGTGATTTTTACCTCTCAGTTTTGTAGTCAAAGTAGAGGCTGAATTATTCTCAACGTACTGAATTTGTGGGATGGGAGACTAAAACGAAACAGTACTGGGAATTTGCTCTAACAAGGTTTACCCTATAAATGTATGTTGAATGTGAGCACTCGTCAGAGTGATTTATCTCCAAAACGAAATAATAACCTCTTCCTCCTTGGAGGTGGCGAGCATATGTTGTCCCGTGCTTCAATTCTCATTTCCAACAGCCTGTCGAATTTTAACACAGGAAAGGATTAAGACGTGTTTAGAAAACCTATTTTGAGGCGGAAGGAAGCCCTGGGCTGCAAGACCCCAAGATTCTGCTTAAAGTGGACAGTTTAATTTTTCTCCCGTTTTGTGTTAACAGGATGCTAGACCCTGGAATGAGATGCTAGAGAATCCCTAAACACGATAGGGCCAAGGGAACCGTCCTTTTAAGACCTAACAGCCACTTTTTTATTTGTAAATCATCCCGTTTTCTGCAGTCAGGCGTTTATCTTGAAGTGAGGTTATTGTTCAGCAAAGATTTTGAGTTTCCTGCTTTGTTTTTACCATTTCTCTTTCTCTTTTTTCCATACATTCTTCATGGATGACAACAGAGAAGAAGATAATGAGGTGAGTACCATTGAAGGCGCTTTGAGTTTCCATGTGGAGAGAAAAAAGTGGGAAGTAAATAAACATAAACATAATAATAATAATTAATATTATTGTCGAAAGCTTTCATGGCCGGAATCACTGGGTTGTTGTAGGTTTTTTTCGGGCTATATGGCCATGGTCTAGAGGCATTCTCTCCTGACGTTTCGCTTGCATGGGCTTTTGGTGAGAGGATTTGCCATCTAGATGCAGGCGAAACGTCAGGAGAGAATGCCTCTAGAACATGGCCATATAGCCCGAAAAAACCTACAACAACCCATTAATAATAATAATAATAATAATAATAATAATAATAATAATAAAATCAATATAACAGGAAAAGCTGACATGATATGAGGATTTAAAGATTGAACTGCAAAGACTCTGGCACAAGCCAGTCAAGGTGGTCCCAGTGGTGATCGGCACACTGGGTGCCGTGCCTAAAGACCTTGGCCTGCATTTAACCACAATCGGCGCTGACAAAATTACCATCTGCCAGCTGCAGAAGGCCACCTTACTGGGATCTACACACATTATTTGCTGGTACATCACACAGTCCTAGACACTTGGAAGGGTCCGACGTGTGATCCAACACAATAGCCAGCAGAGCGATCTTGTCTGGTGTTGACTCATCTTGTTGTGTTTCAAAGAAGAAGAAAGAAGTCTCTTCTTGCATCTGTTTTTATAAATTGATGGTAAATTTCTTATAAATTATCACTGGCCAACATACATTTTGGTGCTTCACATATTAGCCTGTTTTTGGATGTCTTTGACTTGGCTGATTCCAAAAGTGGCACCGGTTTCCTCCCATCAGCTCTAGTTTTTGAGATACAGAACATATTTATTTATTTATTTATTTATTTTGAACATTTATATTCCACCCTTCTCACCCCGAAGGGGGCTCAGGGTGGAGAACAGCATATATACGGCAAACATTCAATGCTGGGACACAAATTCTTATATACATACATAAACATTAAAAACATTGATCAGAATATTAAAATACACCATTTAAAACCATCCTAGTCATCCACGTCAAATGTAATTGGGCTGGTAATCTTTCCTATTGCTGCTTTATTGCCCTGTCCCGAAAGCTTGGTCCCACAGCCAAGTTTTTACCATCCTTGTAAAGGACAGGAGGGAGGGGGCCGACCTGATCTCACCAGGAAGGGAGTTCCCTAGCCGGGGAGCAATCACCGAGAAGGCCCTGTCTCTCATCCCCACCAATTGTGGGGACGGAAAGCAGGGGCCTCCCTGGAGGATCTTAATCTCTGTGGTGGTTCATAGGGGGAGATGCGTTCGGACAGGTAATTTGGGCCGGGGCCGTTTAGGGCTTGATAGGCCAAAGCCAGCACTTTGAATTGTGCCTGGTAGCAAACTGACAGCCAGTGGAGCTGGCATAACATGGGAGTTGTGTGCTCCCTGTATGCCGCCCCAGTTATGAACCTGGCTGCCTCTCGTTGGACTATTTGAAGCTTCCGAGCAGTCTTCAAAGGCAGCCCCATGCAGAGCGTGTTGCAGTAGTCTATCCTAGATGTAACGAGAGCGTGGACCACCGTGGCCAAGTCCGACTTCCCAAAGGAACAGGCGCAGCTGGCGCACAAGTTTTAATTCTGTGAAAGCTCCCCTGGCCACCGCTGCAACCTGGGATTCCAGGCTCAGTGATGAGTTCAGAAGGACCCCCAAGCTGCGAACCTGTGCCTTCAAGGGGAGTGTGACCCCATCCAGCACAAGTTGCGACCCTATACCCTGTTTGGCCTTGCAACTTATAGCTATGATATCATCTACCAATCACCATCTCCTCACCTTTAGAAAACCATGATGGTTATATCTCAGAAGCTAGAGCAGATGTGGTCTATCCGGTGCAATTTTCTGAACTGGTGTCCCAAAGAACCCCAGAAACAGGCCTCAAAACCAAGAAACCAAGAATTTCTTTGGTTAGGCTGTGTTACAATTGACCCATGTAAAATTTATGTCATTTCACATGTTGCTTAGTGGCCAAGACCATTCAGATTTCCAGGGTTGGGTGGGCCTTTTTGCAGAATTAATATGGTCTTCATTTATGGAGATCCAATGGCTCACATTGGATCTCTCAGCCCAGATTCTATTTCTGGTGAATCCAGTTGGTGTGGCTCAGCAATTCTGCTGATGCTGGTGACGTTAATTCCTTCTGTTGCAAGTTTTGGGCCTTTTTTCCTTGGCTCTTCTCACTTTTGGTGCTGTTTATTTATTTACGACATTTATATGCCACCCTTCTCACCCTGAAGGGGACTCAGAGCAGCTTACCAGATATATAGACATACAATATATTATATTACTAGCATAGCACAATATCAGTATTAAATATTACTATATTATACTATACCATTATATTGTAGTGTTATTAGTAAATTACATGTAATATAAATATATAATTATAATATCATGTTATTATTAGTAGTATTATATTGCATTATGTTATAATATTATAAATATTATATGTATATACAATATATTATATTACATTATATTATATTATTAGAATAGCACAGGAGACAAAGTGGAACTGTCTTCTGCCCCCCTCTCTCTTCACTCTGGCCCAGACCAGCAGTTGGTGCTGGGGGAAGGGGTCTTCAACTGATGACATGTGCAGGAGACAAGATGGAACTGTCCCCTGGCCCCCTCTCTCTGTTTTTAGTAATACAGTAGTAGAGTCTCACTTATCCAACCTTTGCTCATCCAACATTCTGTGTTATCCAATGCAGTCTGCCTCCTGCTCGGATCCACAGCTGTTTCAATACATTGCAATGTTTTGGTGCTAAATTTGTAAATACAGTAATTACTACATACCGTCACCATGGATTGAACTGCATTTTATTTCAGTTTGTTGCAAAACATGATGTTTTGGTGCTTAAGTTGTAAACTCATAAAGTAATTTGACATTTAATAGGCTTTTCCTTAATCCTTCCTTATTATCTAACATTTTTGTCCAACCGCATTTCTGTTTATGAACCTACACGATCTCTTTGATCTTCCGGAGAGGCCCTTCTCTTGCTCTTTCCCCCCATCGCAAATGCGACTTGTGGGGATGAGGGAGAGTGCCTTCTCTGTGGTGGCCCCCCAACGCTGGAACTCGCTCCCCAGAGATATTAGACAAGCCCCTACCTTGGCAGCCTTTAGGAAGAGCTTGAAGACCTGGCTGTTCCATTGTGCCTTCAATGGATGAATGAACAATTTATTTGTCGTGTCAGATCAACCAGTCAATTATATTACATTTCTAACAGAACAAAGCAAACAAACAGATAAAATACAACGTTTGCAAGCTTGGTAGTTGGTTAAATGTCCTTTGACCAGTATCTGGCCACTTGGAGTGCCTCTGGTGTTGCTACAAGAAGGTCCTCCATTGTGCACGTGGCAGGGCTCAGGTTGCATTGCAGCAGGTGGTCAGTGGTTTGTTCTTCTCCGCACTCGCATATCGAGGATTCCACTTTGTGGCCCCATTTCTTAAGGTTGGCTCTGCATCTCGTGGTGCCAGAGCGCAGTCTGTTCAGCGCCTTCCAAGTCGCCCAGTCCTCTGTGTGCCCAGGAGGGAGTCTCTCATTTGGTATCAGCCATTGGTTGAGGTTCTGGAATGAACAATAATACCCTGACATGTAAAATGGCCCTTGGTAGCACTTTATTCTTCTGTTAGTGCAATCACATCTTACTCTACTTTATTTATTTATTTATTTATTTAGCAGTTTTGTATACCGGTCTTCTCACCTCCGTTCGAGGGACTCAGGCCGGTTTCCAACATCAATATTACAGACAGTCATTAAAACATCATATTCTAAATCACACTAAAACATTAAAATAGCAAAATACAATCATATAATTACAGTGGTCAGTCGTCATCAAAAATCATTATTCGTCGTCATCCATCCATATCACAGGATCATGGCTCATTCGTCGAATGCCAATCCCCAAAGCCAAGTTTTCACCTGTTTCCTGAACGTTAAGATAGAAGGGGCAGTTCTGATCTCCAGTGGAAGGGAGTTCCAGAGTCGAGGGGCCACCACCGAGAAGGCCCTGTCTCTCGTCCCCACCAGACGCGCCTGCGAGGCCGGTGGGATCAAGAGCAGGGCCCCTCCAGACGATCTTAGCAATCTCTACCTCTCGGATCCCTTGCCTAGACACATTACATTGCTGTCCCACCAGTGGTTTTATTTTTTTTAACCTATTCAAACCAGCCTGCCCAATGTGATCAATTTCTATATTTTAATGTGTGATTTTATATTGTTGATGCGTTTAAGTTCAGTAGGTTTGTATTTTATTTTATTTTATTTTGCTGTGTTCTGTTGTATATTGTTTACTGTATTGCTGGGCTTGGGGTTTACTGTATTGCTGGGCTCTCCCTTGGGGAGATGGTGGTGGGGTATAAATAAAGTTAATATTATTATTATTATTATTATTATTATTATTATTATTATTATGCTTATCCAGCATTCTTCCGGCCCGTTTATGTTGGATAAGTGAGACTCCTGTACTCGTTTGGAAGTCCTGATTTCACTGGGCTCTTTCTCTTTGGCTGCAGGGCAAGGCTGATAACCCACAGAAGCCTGGCTTCGTCAAAGGGCCAGTGTTCAAGGGGATTGCCTCCAGCCGTTTCTTGCCCAAAGGGACCCGGACGAAAGTGAACCTGGAGGAGCAAGGGAGGCAGAAGGTGTCCTTCAGCTTCAGCCTCACCAAGAAGACCTTGCCAAACAGATTCCTGGCAGGACTTGGGAACGAGAAGCAAAATGAGACGTCGGGTTCCCCGGCAGCAGCCCCTCCGACCGACTTGGCTTCCAAAATCAAAATGGACTTAGCGGACTCACCCGGCGCGGTGGAGGAGTTCTCACCGCCGAAACCTAAGGTGGAATTAGGCAGGATTCATTTCAAGAAACATTTGCTGAACGTTACAACAAAGCTTCCTTTAGCTGTTGCTGCAACGCTGCCGCCTCCTCCGCCGCCTCCACCACCACCTCCGCCTCCGGCAGTTCCAACTCCAGCGGATACATTTGAAATTGAGGAAATGCCCCCATCACCCCCTCCTCCTCCTCCACCTCCTCCGCCCCCTCCACAAATTGTGTCCGCACCAGCGTCAGTGCTAAGCCCACCAGCTTTGTCACACATCCCATCAACGCCAGCCCCCCCTCCGCCACCATCGCCTGTAGAAACCATTGTCCAGATGACAAAAGTGCCCTCGCTGAAAACATCACAGGAGACTTCAGAAGCGAGCGTTCAAGAGAATTCTTCTGTCTTGGATGGCTCCAAAGAGCATCTTCCTGAAGCCGCTTCCAACGAAGCGGAACCCACCCCGACAAAAGGACATTCCCACAATGGGAAGGAGGAAGAAGTTTCCGATGCCCCGAAAGGTGCTCCTCTAAGTTCTAAGAAGCAAGGCTCCAGGAGGAAGTTCTCGCTGTCTGATGGCACAGCCCCCGGTTCTGAATCCGATGAAGATTCCGTCAGAACGTCTTCCAGCCAGAGATCCCATGACATTAAATTGCCCCCCAGCTCGGAGAAAGAAAAGGATTCGCGGAAGAGCTCTTCTTCTCACAAAACGGAAGAGCCGGCAAAATCTTCCTCACGGTCTAAATCTGACCGAGATGAAAAGTATTCCAGTTATTCTCGATCCGAGAGAGACTCGAGGTACTCTTCCAGCCGTTCCAAAACTGACCGAGAGAGGAGGAGGAGTAGGTCTCGTTCTCGTTCTAGGTCAGAGAGAAGTTCTAGGCCCAGTTCCTCCTATTCCAGGTCGGAGCGGTCGCATTACTATGACTCGGACCGACGGCACCACAGAAGCTCACCCTACAGAGAGAAGAGCCGATACTCTCGCTCCTACGCAGATAGCAGGACCAGAGAGAGCTCCGATTCGGAGGAAGAATACCGAAGGGCTTACTCCCGGTCTACAGAGTCACGGCGTACATCCTCCCATTCCTCATCCTACAGAGACTCTAGGACCTCTTCTTCCTCTCATTCAAAGTCCGAACGGGAAAGTAGGACTGAATCCTCTCATACTGAGTCAGATAGAAAAGGAAAGTCTACCAAATCGGAAAGAGAATCAAGAAGGACTTCGGACGCTGACGGTTCTAGAAGGTGTTCTCCTTCCGGCGAGTCGCGACATCGGGGGGGATCCTCCCATTCTAAAGCCGACAGCAGCGCGAATTCTTCCCGACACAAGCCCACCTCTTCCAAGACATCTGTTCCGAGACCAGATAAATTTAAAAGTTCTTTCTGTTGTACAGAATCTGAGGAAATCAAAGGGCAGTCTAATTGTATAGACTCGGAGGCATCTTGTGTTCAAAGCTGTGAAACAAAAAACGCTGTCTCACCGAAGCCAGAAACGGACAGGACTGTTTCCCCATTAAGTCCGTTACGTGATTCGCCTTCTTTTAAAAATCAAGAAGAATCAAAAGGAGGTCCTCCTATTTCTAAGTCAAACGAACTTGCAGGAATTGATAGCCATGACAGTATTAAGGAAGCGGACCCTTTGGTCAAGGGAAAGCATGATATTCGGTTAACGACTTGTTCTACGAGAACAGAAACCAATCTAAACGGATCCCCAGAGAGTAGGCCGAGCGATACTGCAGTGTTCTGTAATTCTGAACTGGAGGTCGCAGTATCTTCTGATACTAGTCTAGATAGATCTGGTAGTTTAGATACTTTGGAGGAGGCACAATCTCAAATCAAAAGTCCTCATTGGAACAAGGAACCATCTAACGGGGTTCAAAGCGTATCTCCTTCTAAAGAACAGGCTCTGGATGATTCCCTGCTCCTTTCAAGCGAATCCAACTGTTCTCCTCTCGAAAAGGAAGAATATTCCATTCTTTCTGAATATGAATGTGTCCCTTCCTGCACTGAGAATGTAAATCTTTCTGAAATAACACAAAAAGAGGATGATCAAACAGATCCCTGTGATAAAGCCAAAGATCCAGTCCCTTGTTACCTTTCAGACGACGCCACTCCTTTGTATTATTCCGAAGTGGAAATCGAAGCTGAGCCTTCCGACACGAAAGCTGCTCCAGGATCTTTCGCTGAGGTAAACGTAGAGCCATGCATTGAAACATTGAAATCTTCTGACGTAGAGGACCAAAATTCATTGAGCTCTGCACATGAAGGTGAAAAATGTTTGAGACAGTTGAACTCGATAGAGAGTAGCCCAGCCAGAGATTCTTCTATGGAAGAAGATCTTGTGAAAATGGAATTAGACAATCAGTGTGTTGCACCGCTGCAGGAAACGTGCGAAAACGGGTCTTTGGAGTTAGAAACAACCTTGCAGGAGAAGGAGGAGGAAATCTTGGAGTGTTCTGAAGTAGCGCTTGAACTTGATGTCCTCCACGTTGAGTCCGCCATTGAAAAGCCAGCATCGCCTTTGAAAAACGAGCATTCTTATTATTTAGAGAGATCGGTAGAAGACCCAGAGAAAGAAGAACCTGATGGGGATGAAGACTTGCTTGCTTTGGATGAAAGAGCCACGTCTGGTTTGGACGAACACTCTTTCGAAGTCTGTGAGATGCAGGATGAAAGCTCCGTCATGGAATCGGCCTTTCCATGCGCCCCCTCCCCTTCTTGTGATATCGGTGTCGCTGAAGAAGAAACAGAAACCGTACCCGAAGTCACCAGGTGCGACAGTAGCCGCAGCAATCCTGAACTCACTCCTGTGCACAACGAAGACTATTCAGATCTGGCTGAAAGCGGGAGTGAGCAAGGCAGCGAGGAAAGCGAAACGGAGGACTCTGATTCAGATGACAGCAGCATTCCAAGGAATCGCCTTCAGTCGGTGGTGGTCATTCCAAAGAACTCCACGATAGCTTTGGAGGAGAGCAGTTCTTGCTCTTCACGGAACAGCCAGAGCAACAGGCGCTATTTGGACCGCTGGGAAGATGCCCGGCCAGAGTCCAGCAAGTCGTTCTGTGAGGACGCACCAAATGATCTGGAAGCCAGCCACGCTCTGCAAAATGAAAGGAAGTGTCTCTCTTCTAGAGATGTGGAGGGGAACCTAGCAATATCAGCTGAGCCTAGCAGAGTGGAGATGGCAGACCTTCAGCCCCGGGTCTCCCAGCCGCAGAGCGATGACGTGGACAGCACCAGCCAGTCCGATCAAGCGTCAGATTCCGTTGGCAAGCCAAATCCAGAGGAAAGGGCCGCCATCAGCGAAACGATGTCTCTTGCTCGATTAGCTGGCGAATCCCAAGAACACGAACTTCAATACTTTTCCAGGAACTTTGAAATGACTGACCATATGTCTAGGCTGCAAAGCAGCGCGTCAAAGCCAGACAGTCAGCAGGGGAAACCTTGTTTCGGGGACCTCCCCGTTCCTGGAGGCCTCTCTCGAGAAGATGGCTTCCATTCGACGGAGGAGTGGGATTTCTCCCAGACAGAGAAGCCCAGCAGCACTTACCAGCAGCCTGACAGTAGCTATGGCATCTACCCTGGTTATGTTTACCCACCAAACTCAGGGCCTTACGTTGGATCTCACAGTTACTGGCACGATAATGGCTACTGGGACCCACGACTGACCCACAGGCCCTGTGAGATGAATTACGAGCCGGCGCAAGGGCCGGTCCCGGACTCTCTCACGGAAGATCACGAAGAGTATGAAGAAGTGGACCACTGGGTGGATGAAAGCCAGGCTTACTTCCCCAGCCAGTCGGAGAAGTACCCGCCCCGTGACCCGAGGGAGAAGGGTTCGGTGCAGGCCCACGAGATCAGCAGCAACTCGGCCAAGGAGCCCACAGCCACGAGCGAGCAAAAAGAGCAGGCCACTAAGGCTTTGGACAGAAACGACATGAAGGAGCGGGGGCCGCTGAAGAAGAGGCGGACAGATTTGGAGAGCGAGTCGGAGAGCGACGGGGACTCCCAGGAACGGAAGAAGGCCAAAACGGAGGGTGAGCCACTGCCCGCCGTGCCGCAGGGGGACTCTTTGGGGGACGGCCTGCTGTGTTACATGGAGGACTTCAGGGACCCCCAGCGGTGGAAGGAGTTTGCCAAGCACGGGAGAATGCCCTGTTACTTCGACCTCATTGAAGAAAACGTGTATCTGACCGAAAGGTAACTTGCCCTTAAATGATCATTTACTCACCATCGTGGGGAATAGGATGCCTTAGGTATGGTGTTAGAGGTTTGCTGTGATTGAGTTAGCTCAGGAGTAGAGGGGACTTTGTCCTCTGAATTAAGATGTCTGACTTGCTTATGGTGGTCTCAAGTAGGATTACAAGGAACAGCCGTTCCTAAACAGGCATTGATTCTTTGGGGCAAAATTAGCTTTCAGTAGGAATTTTGACACGTGGTATGCTATCCGGAAATGCACAAAGTTCTTTCAGCACCTTTGAGACAGAGAAAGAAACTGTAGCTGTTTATTGTCTAAGGCTTTCATGGCTGGAATCACTAGGTTCTTGTGGTTTTTTTCGGGCTATATGGCCATGTTCTAGAGGGATTTCTCCTGACGTTTCGCCTGCATCTATGGCAAGCATCCTCAGAGGTAGTGAGGTCTGTTGGAACTAGGAAGTAAGGGTTTATATATCTGTGGAATGACCAGGGTGGGACAAAGGACTCTTGTCTGCTAGAGCTAGGTGTGAATGTTTCAACTGACCCCCTTCATTAGCATTTGAAGGCCTGGCTGAGCCTGGGAAAATCTTTTGTTGAGAGGTGTTAAGATGTGCCTGGTTGTTTTCTCTCTGCTGTTTTGCTGTTGTAATTTTAGAGTTTTTTAATACTGGTAGCCAGATTTTGTTCATTTTCATGGTCTCTTCCTTTCTGTTGAAATTGTCCACATGCTTGTGGATTTCAATGGCTTCTCTGTGTAGTCTGACATGGTGGTTGTTGGTGTGGTCCAGCATTTCTGTGTTTTCAAATAATATGCTGTGTCCAGGCTGGTTCATCAGGTGCTCTGCTATGGCTGACTTCTCTGGTTGAAGTAGTCTGCAGTGCCTTTCATGTTCCTTGATTCGTGTTTGGGCAACACTGCGTTTGGTGGTCCCTATGTAGACTTGTCCACAGCTGCATGGTATACAATGGTAGACTCCTGCAGAGGTGAGAGGATCCCTCTTGTCCTTTGCTGAACGTAGCATTTGTTGGGTTTTCTTGGTGGGTTTGTAGATTGTTTGTATGTTGTGTTTCCTCATCAGCTTCCCTATGCGGTCAGTGGTTCCCTTGATGTATGGCAGGAACACTTCCTCTGGGTGGATCTTCATGACTGTCGGGCTTGTTCTTGGTCTTGATGTAAATTTGCAAGAGAAACAACTTTTTCCCTCCCCCTCTTGGGATGGTCTTTCGCCCCGTTGCTTGACATCTCACAACTCTCCTCTCATGCATATCGGGACTCTCATGGGCTTTTGTTCTTGGTTCTTGTTTGCCCGCTCTGGCTTCTGAAAATTGCCTGAGGTAGGGAGTCTCCCCAGCAAGCCCAGTTGAGGTGGTTCCGTTCATCTTGGGGGAGGTGGGTGTTTTGCTGTGGTCAGTTGAAACATTCACACCTAGCTCCAGCACAGAAAAGCTCTTTGCCCCACCCCAGCCATTCCACAGATATATAAACCCATTGTCCTAATTCCAACAGACCTCACTACCTCTGAGGATGCTTGCCATAGTTGCAGGCGAAACGTCAGGAGAAATGCCTCTAGAACATGGCCCTATAGCTCGAAAAAACCCACAAGAACCTTGTAGCATAACCTTTTGAAGATTAAGTCTACTTCATCAGATGCTTCAAGGAAGTAGATTAAGTCTTTGAAAATCTATGCTACAATTCGTTTAATGCTGTGATTTGCTTTGTGTCTCGATTAAAAGATAAAAGCAGAATCTGTTGGGAAAGAGGTTTTATTAACAAAAGACCCTCCCCAAACTAGGTTTCTATAACATGGACAAAGTTATACTTTCTGATTTACTTCCACACTGGGGTTCTTTCTCATGCAAACAAACAGCTTCGCTCTCACAGAGCCTCTTCTCTCACCGAAGTTACACAGGAGCTTCACGCAGTAGCTTTTTACACACAGCAGCCTTCACACACGATGGCCTTCAACCTGGGACTTCGCTCACCAAAGCGTCCCACACACCAGGCCTACTCCCACCAAGGCCTACTAACACTGAGGCCTTTCTCCCACTGAGGCCTTCTCACACACTGAAGCAAAGTAACACTGAGGCCTGCTCATACTGAGGCCTACTAACACACTGAGGCTCTTCTTCCACAGAGACTTCTCGCAGACTGAGGCTACTAATCTACAGGCACACCTGCTTATATTGAACTACAGCTTTTGCTGAGCCATTGCATCCATTTATCCCTTTCAATGCTTGACTCACATTTTTGTAATTAAAAATACCTAGTTAATTTTTAATATTTCTGAAAGAATTGTCATAATTTCTCCCCATCTCAAAGGTGCTGTAAGACTCCTTTGCAAATTGAAATTATTACCATGGCTGTGTCTTTGAATTCTGTCCAGAATTTAGGATTTTCTCCTGCAAGCGTAGTTTCGTTATATCCATGTAATCTCGTGTTAACTTCTCACTCTGATAAACCGTAATCTACTTATGTGTAAATCTAGAAACTTGGTCCAAAACTCACCCAAAAAAACCTGGGTCCCCATTTTCCAGTGTAAGTAGTGGACCTTAACTCTTGCCAAAAAGGGATGCATCTCCTTCTCTGAGTAAAATGGTGAAAGGCTGAATACATCCATACCATTGTACTTTTGAATTTTGAATAAAATTTGTGTTCTCTGGGATTCCGCATAGGAAGAAGAACAAATCGCACCGTGACATCAAGCGGATGCTGTGCGAGTGTCCCACGCTTTCCAAAGAAGAGAGGGCTCAAGGAGAGGTGGCCTGCGGAGAAGACTGCCTCAATCGACTGCTCATGATAGAATGGTATGGATGATTTTGTCTTTTGGTCCATTGCCTTTTGTCACTGGCCTAGTCCTTGAACAGTACCAGAGGGATGAGAACGTTAGCTATGAAGCGCAACTAAACATTATAGAATCATAGAATCCTAGAGTTGGAAGAGACCTCATGGGCCATCCAGTCCACCCCTCTGCTAAGAAGCAGGACAATCGCATTCAAAGCACCCCCAACAGATGACCATCCAGCTTCTGATTAAAAGCCTCCATAGAAGGAGCAGATAACGCTGCAGGTGACAACGAAATGACTAAGTGCCCCTTTACAGAGGTGAAGATCTCCAGGTGCTCATTTAATCAAGTGCATACCAAAGCACTTGAGAACAGAAGCTGCATTTTCCTAGAGGTGGATGTCTCTGAATATGATATGTATTTTGGTACTTCTTCAGAGAACCACATCTGCAGGCATTCTAGGATGTTCACTACAGACACCTGAATCATTTCCTTGTTTTCCTTCCTGGTGTTTAGTTCTTCGAGATGCCCCAACGGGGAGCACTGCTCCAACCGCCGGTTCCAGAGGAAGCAGCACGCAGACGTGGAGGTCATCCTCACGGAGAAGAAAGGCTGGGGCCTGAGAGCAGCAAAAGACCTCCCCTCGTAAGGCTTGGCTTATTGAGGGGGCTTCAGCACGGGGACGTTGGCCTCAAGCACACCAAACAAACACCTAACTCAGTAGGAAAGCCTTGGTTCCAAGGCAGACTCATCTCTGCTCCCCCTTTTTGTTGGACTTGTCAGGGATGAAATGTGGGTTGGTGTTATCCAGAGTGAGTGCAAATTCTGGCATGTTAGCCTTGGCTTTGAACAAAGTGAACTTTGTAAGTTTCCTGAATCATAGCATCCATGTTCCTATAATATATACACGCGTCTGTAAAAGGAAGAGGGAGCTCATAGAGAAGCCAAAGGCTGACAGAACTTTGAATCCCTTCCCTTTAAGATTTATTTATTTACAGTAGTTATATTCCGCCCTTCTCACCCCGCAGGGGACTCAGGGCGGATTACAATGTACATATACATGGCAAACATTCAATGCCATAGACACACAACATATATAGACAGACACAGAGGCAATTTAACTTTTTATGCTGACCAGGGGAGCTGTTGCTTCACCGTCCATTTGTGACACTGATGAAGTACTTCCTCATTCTTTGCAGGCTTGCTGGAGATTTTTATGGCATCGTAAATTAGTTAAATTAACCTCCCCGTGTAGGCGGTACCTAAATTTCCTACTTGACAGATGCAACTGTCTTTCGGGCAGCAAAGGTTGACAGCAAGCTACACAAATTGGTCAGACACTCACTTTGACCCGGGCTGGTTTCGAACTCATGACCTTTCAGTCAGTAGTGATCTTAATGCAGCTGATTCCCAGCCAGCTGCGCCACAATATTATTTATTTATTTATTTATTTATTTCTTGTACTTATTGACCGCCACTCTCAGCCCTAGGGGCGACTCGTGGCGGTGAACAGCAACATAGAAGGACAGCATACAAAATCATGACAATACATAACAACTACTACTACGACATATACTTATACTAAAAATCCGCTTCGTCTAATCCTGGGGTCATAGCCAAGTTCGTAGTCATAGTCCATTCTAACGTCGTTCCACAGATACACTTAATTGAAGGCCTGCTCGCAGAGCCAAGTTTTCAGGCTCCTACGAAAGGCCATCAAAGAGGGCGCCTGTCTAACTTCAGTAGGGAGGGCGTTCCACAACCGGGGGGCCACCACCGAGAAGGCCCTCTCTCTCGTCCCCGCCAGACGCGCCTGCGAGGCAGGCGGGACCGAGAGAAGAGCCTCCCCGGATGATCTCAAGGCCCTCGTGGGCTCGTAGGCCGAGATGCGGTCCGAAAGGTATTTTGGGCCGGAACCGTTTAGGGCTTTGTAGGATAACACCAGCACCTTGAATTGGGCCCGGTAGCAGATCGGCAGCCAGTGGAGCTGGGACAGCAAGGGCGTTGTGTGCTCCCTGCGTCCCGCTCCCGTTAGTAACATGGCTGCCGCGCGCTGGACTAGCTGAAGCTTCCGGGCCGTCTTCAAGGGCAGCCCCACGTAGAAAGCGTTGTAAACGGGATGTAACCAGAGCGTGGACTACCGTGGCCAAGTCGGACTTCCCAAGGTACGGGCGCAGCTGGCGCACGAGCTAAGCTGTGCAATGTTCTAGAGGCATTCTGTCCTGACGTTTCGCCTGCATCTATGGCAAGCATCCTCAGAGGTAGTGAGGTCTGCTGGGACTAGGGAAATGGGTTTATATATCTGTGGAATGATGTCTAGGGCGGGAGAAAGAACTCTTGTCTGTTGGAGCTAGGTGTAAATGTTTCAACTGATGACCTTGATTAACATTTGATGCCCTGGCAGTTCTTTGGTGTGGCTTGTTGGTGCCTGGGGCAATCTTTTGTTGAAAGGTGATTAGATGTCCCTGCTTGTTTCCTCTCTGTTGTTTTGCTGTTGTAATTTTAGAGTTTTTAAATACTGGAGGGCCCCCCGGTGGCGCAGTGGGTTAAAGCACTAAGCTGCTAAGCTTGTTGACCAAAAGGTCGCGGGTTCGATTCCAGGGAGTGGCGTGAGCTTCCGCTGTCAGCCCTAGCTTCTGCCAACCTAGCAGTTCGAAAACATGCAAATGTGAGTAGATCAATAGGTACCGCTCCGGCGGGAAGGTAATGGCGCTCCATGCGGTCATGCTGGCCATATGACCTTGGAGGTGTCTATGGATAACGCTGGCTCTTCGGCTTAGAAATGGAGATGAGCACCACACCCCAGAGTCAGACATGACTGGACTTAATGTCAGGGGACAACCTTTACCTTTACCTAGCCAGATTTTGTTGTTCTCCTTTCCTGGTCATTCCACAGATATATAAACCCATTTTCCTAGTTCCAACAGACCTCACTACCTCTGAGGATGCTTGCCATAGATGCAGGCGAAACGTCAGGAGAGAATGCCTCTAGAACATGGCCCTATAGTCTGAAAAAACCTACAACAACCCAGTGATTCTGACCATGAAAACTTTCGACAATACATTGCTCATATGTTTTCTTAGACCTTTTTTGTTTTTCTTTGGGCCCATTTAGTAACTCCTTTGTGCTGGAGTATTGTGGTGAAGTCCTGGATCACAAAGAGTTCAAGACCCGAGTGAAGGAGTACGCCCGGAGCAAGAACATCCATTACTATTTTATGGCCTTGAAAAATGATGAGGTGAGTAAAGTGGGAGTTGATAAGGCTCTCCATCACGACTGAGTTAAATGAATGATGTACAGAGAGTATAAGTGTTTTTTAACTTTCTCTTCAGATCATCGATGCCACCCAGAAAGGAAACTGCTCTCGTTTCATGAACCACAGCTGTGAACCAAACTGTGAGACGCAGAAGGTGAGTTATAAGAGGAGACCGTTGCCATTCGGTTTTAAGTTAAATAAGGTTGATTTATGTCGGACCACTCTCTTGCATGAAAATGTCCATTTTGTGCATTGGTGTCCAATATAGAAAGCGGTCCATTTTGAAAAAAAACTTAGACAAGTGATCCTCAAGACCTCTATGTCTTCATTTATATCTTGTCATCTATCTGCCTGCCTGCCTGCCTTTAAATATCTATAGATTTAAATATTTGCTCATCACTTCA